TGATCTCAAACTCACTGGACCAGGATGACCTCCTTCCCCAGTGCCGGGCTGATGGGCACGAGCCACCACACCAGGTTTATGCGGTGCTGGCAATGGAAGCCAGGGCAGGCAATCCGCCAACGGCACCCCAGCCCTTTTTTGGAGGGAGGGAACCACAACTCGATATGGCCCACACTGGCTTTGATCCCCCTGCCTCAGCCTCCCTCCTCTTGAGTGCTGAAATGACAGACCTGGGCCACCACGTCGCCTTTCACCAGATGGCAGGATGCGTGCCCACCCCCCCACCAGATGCTCATCTTTAGAACAGAGCCATGTGCCAGGCCCCACAAGGCCACGGTCACCAGATGGAAAAGGCTACCCCGAGATGTGTCTCCACTGGATGACTCATAGATAAAGAAGCCTGAGATGAGCGACCCAGGAACACGGCGGTGGGCAGAGGGCAGGCGAGGGCGAGGGCCACTTACACATAGGCAGCGTCAGGCTCGTGTCTGCTTCCTGGAAGAGGCCAGATAGGAGAGTTGACACAGGCCAAGCTCCCGGGCTGGGGCCCATTCCCTCCCCCCAAGAGCTACCCACCTCTGTAGAAGTTCTGGTACCTAAGGGACTCAGGACCTGGAAGAAAGGCTAAGCTGTCTTCCCTCCAGGCCTTGCCCCAGCCCAAGCCAGGCTCTGCAGCCCAAGCCAGCGGCTTTGGATGGTTACGCCTTTGGACACTGTCAGCCCAATTTCATCAACCCCAGGCTCAGCCCTCCCTAAAGGCCTCCCCGAAGCTGGTACTTGTCCCACTGCGCCATCCCCACTTCAGGCTCCTCCCTGCCTGGTGTCACTCACCTTCCGGGTCCGAGAACAGCAGTTTATTCTTCCTGTAAGGATGGGGTAAGGTGGTGGGGGACTGAGGTGGTGCTCTGGGGAGGGGACAGTCCCCTCATGGGCCAGGACTGAGGCTCTGCAGCATGGGGACACAGGTCTGGGCCCTGGGAGGACCACGCACCTACCTTTCGGATGACTTGTCTGAGGCTGTGTCCATCAGGGGTCCTGGCCACACCGGCCTGGCCACTTTCGGAGGGAAGCAGGGGACAGGGTATTGGTAGGCACTCACCCAGCTTAGCCTTCACCCACTACACCAGGCTGGCCTCAGGGCGAGGGACACAGAAGGGACCTTGATAGGGGGAGTCTCAGCCCAGAACCAAACCCAGGAAGCACCAGGGACTCACGGGAGTAGGTCTGAGCCACAGTAAAGTTCTGTTCGTTTTCTTGCCTGTGAATACACAAGGGTGTGCTGAGCCGGGCCTTGGCATTCCCCAGGCAAGGAACAGAGAGAGAGGGGACAGAGGGACAGATAGGGACAAAAGAACACAGAGAAGACAGAGGAGCCGAGCCTGGGAATATGACTGCACATGCCTGGATGTGAGTTTGAGGCCAGCCTGGGCTATACAAAGTTAAGTTCTGTGCTAGCCAGTGCTACAGAACAGGAAGACCCTGTTTCAAAAACAAAAAATAAAAATAAAAAAACCCAAAAACCATGGCCCGCAGTGGTCAGAGATGGAAGACTTTGTTTTTAAATCTCTGTGGTTTTTCAGTTGCAAAAGGAAATGAGGAAGTGTGTGTGTGTGTGTGTGTGTGTGTGTGTGTATGTGCATGTGTGCGTGCGTGTGTGTGTGTGTGTGTGTGTGTGCGCGCGCGCGTGCGTATGTGTGACACAGCCTATTGGGGTGCGCACGTGAAGGCTGTGCTGAGTGTAGGAAGTGTGTGTGGGTAGCAGAGACGGGTAGAGTGTGATCAATTGGTTCCCTCCCCCTCTCTTTCTTTCTTTTTTGCAATACGGTCTTACTCTGTAGGCCTGACTGGCCTGGAACTTACTATGTAGACCAGGTTAGATCTTAGGACACAGAGATCCACCTGCCTCTGCCTCCTGAGTGCTGGGATTAAAGGAATCCAGCACCATGCCTGCCCCTTGCCTTTCTTTTTATGTTGGGCATTGAACTCAGGACCTATAGCACTGAGCCACACCCCAGCCCCTCACTGGGGGATTCTAGGCAGGTCCTCTACCACTGAGCCACACCCCAGCCCCTCACTGGGGGATTCTAGCCACATGCTCTACAGCTGAGTCACGATCTCCTTCTCCCACTTTAAAAAAGTTTTTATATGGGGTATTTTGCCCATGTGTAAGTCTGTCCACCACATATAATCCTGGTGCCTAAGGAGATCAGAAGAGGGCACTGGATTTCCTGGAACCTGAGTTAGAGACTGTGAGCCATTATGTGGGTGTTGGGGATCAAATCCAGATCCTCTGGAAGAACAGCCAGTGCTCTTAACCACTGGACGATCTCTCCAGCCCTGCTTTTCAGTTTTAAAAGTTTATTTGTTGTTGTTGTTATTATTATTATTATTATTATTATTATTATTATTATTATTATTTGTGTGTGTGTGTGTGTGTGTGTGTGTGTGTGTGTGTGTGTGTGTGTGTGTGTGTATTGTGATGCAATTTTCGGGAATCCTCAATCTCCTCCACCGTGAGTTCCAGGGATCGAACTCGGGTCCCCAGGCTTTTGTGCTGGCCACTTTGACTTGCTGAGCCATCTGGCAACCTCCTACTTATAAATTTGGAGACAGGGTCTCACTGGATTGCCAGGCTGTCTCGAACTCCCTCTGTGGCCCAGGCAGGCTCTGGAATATCTGGGATGACAGGAGGTACTCAGCCTCTCTTAAGTGGTTTTGAGATTCTGCTCCGATTCTTTCCGGGGGCTCAGGCTTCTGCCCCCCACTACCACTGCCGTGTGATGGCACATTCCCGCGGATAGCCCCCGGACTCTCTTTCCGTCCACTGAATGCTAGGCACCCACTAGAGCCTGCCATGGAGCAGGCATGAGAGAGGGCAGGGACCGGGTTCCTGAGAGGATGCCCAAACACGCCAAGCTGGGGCAACTCACTGGTTCCTCTGCTCGAAGATTTTCTCATTTCTCTTCGCCCCTGCAAGAACAGAAATGGCATAGCAAGTGTCCCTGAACTCGGGGTGTGTGGTGGGGGAAAGCTGAAGTCTGGGACCCCCCCACCCCCCCACCCCACCCCCGCTTTGCAACTCCACCAGGCCCTTGGCAAGTCTCTTTGTGGCTGCCTGTTACTGAGATGGTTCAGATCAGCTGGGTGTGGGGACACATGCCTGCCATCCCTACACTCAGGAAACTGAGGCAGGAGAGCAGGAACGTTTGAGGCTAGCCTGAGCTAAAGTGTGAAAAGAGAAAGAATTAAGAGGAAGGAATTGAAGAAAGGAAGGAAAGAGGGAGGGAGAGGGAGGGGAGAGGGAAGGAGGGAGGGAGAAGGCTGGAGCGGGTTGGGGGAGGAGAGGAGGAGGGACAGAAGGACAGGTACTTAATCTCTTTTTGTGGGGTGAGGATAGCTTGGAATAGAGGGTGCCACAGGTAGCCAGCCTCCCTTCTCTTCTCCAGAGCAGTTTCCTGGCCTGAGTGACCGCCATGGTCCAGCAGAACCAGCCTCCACCCACAGCCAGTGTAGGGGCCACCAGCTGGTCCCTGGGTGCTCAGCCTCCTGCCCCTCCCATCACAGCCAGGTCCAGCCCCAGAGGCCCCTGGGACATAGTCTCCATGGTCCCTTCCATCCCTCCCTGCCCGGGTGGCACTTACCTGGGCGGGAACAGCGGACACACAGCCAGGCTGTGGCCCCCAACAGCAGCAGCAGTGGTACTGACAATGGCCACACCAGCTCCAGGTCGGCACTCAGGTCGGCACTCATGTCGGCTTGGGGAGGGGGCTGCAAAGCTGCATTGGAGGGTCTGTGAGCCGGTGGCTGCCAGCTGCTGCCCTACCTACCCCACGCGCTCAGTTTCTGAACTCTCTGGTTCTTGGCTCCAGCAACATCCACGGAATAGCCTTCCCTACCCCTGGATTGAACCAACTCTGTCTCCCATGTGACCCTAACCAGCACACTGACTACCAGACCACATGTGCTGGAAGGGTCTGAGATCACTGGGCGGCACTAAGAAATGGTGGCCAACCCTAAGCTCTCATTCCCAAGCCACCTGGCCCCGAGAGACGGGCTCCCTAGTTCACAGGCGGAGAAGCTGAGAGTGGGAAGCCCCCCACAGCTATGTGGGAAGGGAGGGCTCAGGCCAGACCTAGGAGAGGGCGCACACCTGTAATCCCAGCAACTCTGGAGGCTGAGGCAGGAGGATTGCCACTAGTTTCAGGCCAGCCTGAGACAACATAGTGGGTCTCAGGCTAGCCTGGGTCAAAGACTAAGACCCTGTGTCAGAAACAAAACAAAAATAAGGTGGAGGGGGAGGGGGGCTGGGGATTTAGCTCAGTGGTAGAGCGCTTGCCTAGCAAGCACAAGGCCCTGAGTTCGTTCCTCAGCTCCGGAAAATAAAAAAAATAAAAAAAATAAGGTGAAAGGGCTGGAGGGATGGCCTAGCAGTTAAGAGTGCTTGTAAGCCTTTAATCCCAGCACTTGGGAGGCAGAGGCAGGCCAATCTCTGAGTTTGAGGCCAGCCTGGTCTACAGAGAGAGAGTTCCAGGACATCTGCACAGATAAACCCTATCTTCAAACAAACAAACAAATAAACAAACAAACCCAGGTCCTGCCTATAAGTGGGAGCTGGAGGGTGCCTCTCAGAGGAGGTAACCCTGAGACAGTGTAGTTCAGGGCATGAGGGCCTGCAAAGTGAGGCTGGGCCTCTGGGAGACCAAGGAGGAAGGAGGTGGGCCTATGGCGAGGGACGGCCGGGGTGAGGAGGCTGCCAACCCCCAGTTAGCCCAGGGCCACGTGAAGTCGTGGTTGTCCCGGCCTTGGTGAAGCCCCGCACGGTCTGGTGAATGTGTGGAGAACAGCCCTCTCTAATGGGCCATGAAACCAACAACTCCGAGGAGACTCAGCTCCCCGGCACGAGCAAGGGACACAGGTGAGGGAGCCTGTCTTCTGTAAGGCACATGCAGAGTGACAATGACTACGTGGCCACTGTCTGCACTCGGGCCCACTGCCAGCTGTAGAGACCCTTCCTAGGACCCCCCACCCCCCGTGAAGGGCTGGGGCGTGGCCTTGGTCTACCATAGAGACTCATAAACTGAGCACATGGCGCATACCCATAACTCTAGCACTTTAAGAAATAGAGCCAGGAGGGCTGGAGAGATGGCTCAGAGGTTAAGAGCACTGGCTGCTCTTCCAGAGGTCCTGGGTTCAATTCCCAGTACCCACATAGTAGCTCACAAACCATCTCTAGTGGGATCTGATGCCTCTTCTGGCATAAAGGCGTGCATGCAGATAGAACACCATATACATAAAATAAATAAATATCTTTAAAAAAGAAAGAAAGAGAGCCAGGAGGACTGGGAGATCAAGGCTAGTTCTGGGTGCAAAACACAACCCTATCTATCTATCTATCTATCTATCTATCTATCTACCTATCTATCATCTATCTATCTATCTATATTTTAAAGGAGAGCATATGGTATGTACACACACGGGGGAGGGGGGGCGGTTTCCGGCGGGGGGAGAGAGACAGAGGAGGTAGAGGGAGAAATATGAGAGAATAGAGGGCAGGTTGGGAGAAGAGAGAACTAGATCATGGTGTCTTACTCCTATATGTCTGTAACCCAGCACTTGGGAGGCATAGGCAGAAGATCAGAAGTTCAAGGTCACCCTTGGCTACATAGGTTGGGTTACAAGACACTCTGTCTCAAGGGGGAAAAAAAAAGAGGAGACTTGGACATAGCACACAAGCAGGCCACATATAACTCAGCACTTGCCCACCTGAGTCCACTTGTGACCCCAAGAGCAAGCCCACACTTTTGGCTTGGCATTCAAGGTCCCAAGAGCTGGCCTGCTGACTTCTGTTTCCTCTTCAAGGGCACCCCATGCCTTTGGCACGGGGACCATCCTCCATCCAAGAGGTCTTGACAGCCAGACAGCCCACTTGCTTATAGACTTGTTATTCAGGGATGAGCAGGGCTCCAGAAGCCCTCAGCCCTGGGATAGTGTTGGTCGGGTCATCTGTACCCTCTAAGCTGCCACACGGGGAAAATAACGTGTCCCCTGAGTTAGTCACATGAGGCCTGTCATGGAGATGATGACTGGAGAGTAGGGTCAGCCATGAGGGTTGTTTCCACCATGACGTTTGTTATAGTCACAGTTCTTAGCCACGTGACATGGGAAGGGACTGAGAGTGGCCGACTGCAAAAACTGATGGGCTCTAGCTGGGCAGTGGTGGCGCACGCCTTTAATCCCAGCACTCAGGAGGCAGAGCCAGGTGGATCATTGTGAGTTCGAGGCCAGCCTGGACTACCAAGTGAGTTCCAGGAAAGGGGCAAAGCTGCACAGAGAAACCCTGTCTCGGAAAAAAAAAAAAAAAAAAAAAAAAAAACCAAAACTGATGGGCTCTATTATCCTGCCTGGTGACGTCTAGAGGCACAGGCCTGGACTCCCTTCACTGACCCCAGTGAGGTCTGAGGGGCGAAACCTTATGAAGAGAGCTGTGAAGAACCTTAAGAAGAGAGCCTAATGAAGTAGATATGCCAGGCCTGGTGGAGCAGGCTAGCCATCCTCGCTGCTCAGGAGGCTGAGGCAGGAGTATTGTAAATTCCAAAGTCAACTTGGGCTATATTGCAAGTTCAAGTCCAGTGAGACCCTGTTTCAAAACATAAAGAGGACTTGGGGCACAGTAGGACATTTGCTTAGACTGTCCCAGTGATGGCCTAGACGGGTGGCTTAGTGGTAGAGCAACTACCTAGAATCTACCAGTATGAGGTTGAGGGCGTGGCTCAACAGTAGAGTACCTGCCTAGAACCACCCAGTGAGGGATATGCCCATGTTTAACTGGCAAGGGCAAGGATTTGAGTTGCATTCCCAGCACTGGGGAAAACCAAAACAAAATGGACTGGGGGGTGGAGTTAAAGAGATGGCTCAGAGGTTGAGAGCATACTGTTCTCCCAGAGGACCTGGGTTCGATTCTCAGCATTCACATGGCAGCTCACAACCATCTATTAACTCCAGTTCCAGGGGGATCCAGGCCTCTCCGTTTTTGTGGGCACCGGGCATGAATGTGGTGCACACATGTACATGCAAGCAAAACACTCACACGCATACGTTTTGTTTTTGAGACAGGGAGTCACTGGGTAGCCCTGGCTGGTCTGAAACTCACTTGTGTAGACCAGGCTGGCCTGGAACTCACAGAGATCTGCCTGCCTCTGCCCCGAGTGCTAGGATTAAAGGTGTGTGTGCGCGCGCCGCCACTGCCCGGCTACATAAAGGTTTTAAATTTAACAAAAAAGATTGCTGGAAGAGAGCTCTTGCTCCACAGTAAGGCGCCCGTGCCCCTGTAGATAACCCCTCCCACCCAGAGAGCAGACCTAATGAAATCACTGGGCCACTACCAGACCCCACCCCCACTGGAAAAAGAACATGATATCAGAAAGGGATTAGTTGGGAAGAGGGCAAGGATCAGTTGGAATGGGGGCGGACAAGAGAGGTAATTGGAGGTGAATATGGTCAAGACGCATTCTCTTTACATGTACAGAAATGTCATAAGCCTATTATTATGCATAATTGATACATGATAATAAAAGGATTGAATGGGGGCTGGTGAGATAGCTTGTGGGCAAAAAGGCCTCCAAGTCTGATGATCCGAGTTCGATCCCCAGGCCCCACATGGTGGTGAGAACTCACTCCTGCCAATTGTTCTCTGACCTACACTGTAGCACACGCACATCCACCCATCCAATATTTAAAAATGTATTAAAATATTGAAAAACAGAACAAAAAGAGAGCAGGTGTGAGTGCATGGGACACTTCCTGGACAGGGTCTGGGACTTGCTTCTCAGCTGGGAACTCCTCCGAGCCCAACTGTTTTCTTCCCAGGGAGCAAACGGGAGGTTCAGAGAGGTGCATACTGTGCCACAAGGACACAGTAAAAGAGGCACAGTGGTGGAAATCCAGAGTAGGCTCCATGAATTCCCTCCATCCCATGTGCTCATGCTCTCTACCAGGAACGACGACAGCCTGTGGGCTGAGGGTGGAGGGGACAGAGGCTGGGTCTGTAGGAGGGACAACCCAGCAGTGGCAGAAGGCCCCAAGGGGCCAGGCAGGGCTGGCTGTGGGTGTGGGGGGGACTGCCACAGGCCTGTGGCTCTGCGGGCCAAAATAGCGCAAGGGGAAGTGGGCAGTTTTCGTATGAACAAGGTTTGCACAGGGCTGGTCTCTGACGGCAGCCGCTGAGCCTCCAGCCTCCACGGCCCTTGGTGATCACTCTGCGATCGCTCACCCTCCAGGGAACAGGGGCCACGAGGGTCTGCTTAGTCGAGGAGCGTGACCAATCACACAGACCTGGGACGGCTGTGGTCATGTGCTGCTCTGGGGCCTGTGGGCTTAGCTGAACAGTACTCCTGTGCTTGGTTCCTTTGAGACAGGGTCTTCCTGTGCAGTCCAGGCTGGCCTTGAACTCACTATGCTCCCTCCTTAGCATTCCCTGTGCTGTGATTACAGGAGCGTACCGCAACCCCCACCCGGCCAGACCAAGTAATTTGGGGTTCAAATGAGGGTAGCAGGAGGACCCCGAAAAACCTATTGGAGGCCGGAGAGCCAGGTGGGTTGTGCATGTTTGTGGGTATGGCTATGTGCAGAGGTCTGGCAGGCCCCTTTCCAGGCCAGTAGTGGTGGTGGTAGAGGCTGGGTTGATGGAACCTGGCTAACCTGGGCTACCTATTCTCAGAGCCAGAACCAAAGAGCCCGCCAGCTCTACAGGGGTTATCTGTCAGAAGGTACAAAGCTGGATCAGGCCTGGGTGGACTTTTGGGGACAGCAACTTCCTCCTGGCTGGGATGGGGCTCGGGCACAGCTCCCCAGGGCATCCCAGATTCACCCACAGGCCTGTGGCATTTCACTAACAGACGGGAGAAACCGAGTTCATCTCTGGCTTTTGGCTAGCCCTCCCCAGTCACTGGTAGTGACAGAACCACCCTAGGGGCTTCCTGGCTGGGGGTTTGGGAAGTCAATGATCCAGGTAGGTGCCTGGAGCCCCTGAAACAGGCTGTCCCCAAGAGGCCACAACGCCAGGCCAGGGCAGGAGGTATCCCAGCCGTCGCTCAGTCCATAGCTACTAAGGGGGTACCTGCTCAGCTGGGCACCCGTGGGAAATGCTTACCTGAGAGTGGGGGTTCCTCACCATGGCCACCTCATCCTGTGCCGGCACACCTGCCCAAGCCAATGCCAACACCACAGACTCTGGCGGGCAGCAGGCAAGGCGGTTGGCTTCCTGTCACTACTGAATCATCCCTCGTACATCCGCCTCGGCCGGACTGCTCGCCTGGCTAGTGACAAAGGGGGTGGGGCAAAGGCAGAAAACGATACAGAGAGAGAGAGGAGAGCGGGGCTGTGGTGGCGCACGCCTTTAAATGTCTGCACTGGGGAGGCAGAAGCGGGCGGATCTCTGGGAGTTCGAGACCAGTCTTGTCTACAGAGTGAGTTCCAGGACAGCCCGGACTGTTAGAGAAAATGTCTTGAAAAACCAACCAGAAAAAAAGAAAAGAAAGAAAAAGGAAGGTAGGCCACTGCGCAGACACACACACACACACACACACACACACACACACACACACACACACACGGGGAGGAGGGGGGTGGGTAAAAAAGAAACAGAAACTGATGCAGGAGAAATGGGAAGTAAGAGATGGGCACGGAAAGACAGAGGACAGACAGCCCAGGACGCGCACACAGCACACACCAAACTAAACGCAGACACAGGTCCCAAGGAGTGCAGAGAAGCAGTGTCAACCCAAGAGTTCACACGCACACACAAACACAAGTGGGGGGACAGAGGGGAAGCTGTGCAGGTACACACACACACACACACACACACACACACACACGCGCGCGCGCGCGCGCACACACACACACACACACACACACACACACACACACACGAGAGAGAGACAGAGACAGACAGACAGACAGACAGAGACACAGACACACACAGAGACAGAGACAGACAGACAGACACACACACACACACAGAGACAGACAGACAGACAGACAGACAGACACACACACACACACACACACACACACCAGAGGTGGGAGACACACACAGATGTGTCAGGAGAACACCAGAAAGACAGAGACCCAGCTAGACAGACCCTGACAACCAGAGAGGCCTGAGGCAGCCAGAGTCCTGCCAGCACCCACAGGGATCTCAGAAAGATAAGTAGACTTGTCGGGTGGTGCTGGCGCACGCCTTTAATCTCAGCACTGGGGAGGCAGAGGCAAGCAGATCTCTGTGAGTTCGAGGCCAGCCTGGGCTACAGTGTGAGTTCCAGGACAGGCTCCAAAAAGCTACACAGAGAAACCCTGTCTCGAAAAACCAAAAAAAAAAAAAAAAAGACTGGAGTAGCAGAATCCCGCAGGAAAAACACCAAAGGGCAGACAAAAAGATAAGGACATGGGGGACAGGGATGAGACATGGTGGATAACACAGACAGCAGACAGAACAAAGGACCAGTGTATCAGAAACAGCTGGAGAGACACCCAACCTGCCTGTGTGTGAGGGGAGGCGGGGGTAGGGTGGGGGGTGGGGGGTGGGTACATGTGAATGGAGAGGCCAGAAGTTGCCCACATTTTTGTGTTGTTTTTGAGACAGTGTTTCTTTGTGTAGCCCTGGCTGCCTGGAACTCACTCTGTAGACCAGGCTGGCCCAGAGATCCACCTGCCTCTGCCTCCTGAGTGCTGGGATTAGAGTGTGGTATCATCACCAAGCATGGGATTGGTTTTTACCACATGGGTCCCAGGGATAGAACCCTGATGGTCTTGGTAGAAAGTTCCTTTACCCACTGAGCCATCTTGCCAGCCCATGCAGTGGGTGTTTTGTTTCTTCTGTCTTTATTTATGTCTCACTATGTAGTTCTGGCTGGCCTGGGAACTCAGAGACCCACCCGCTTCTTCCCAAGTGCTGGGACCACACCTTGATTTTCCTCTCTCACTGACCTGGGGCTCACCAAGCAGTCCAGGCTGGCTGGTCCTGCAAACTCCAGATAGCCATGATTCCATGTCCTCAGTGCTGAGGATCCAAGCTCAGGTCCTCTGGCTTTTGAGACTTTTATGGACTGAGCCATGTGGCCCCTCTCCCCCAGAGCTGTTTCTCAGATCATTCTCTGGGAATGTCATTGTCTGTGGCTCAGGGAGGCTCCAAGTGTTGAGTAGGAAGAAGGCCAGCAGGTACCACCGCCCCAAGGGGCAAAGATCAACAAGTTGCCTAGCTCAGTGCACCTGCTGGTTACATCAAGGCTTGAGGCAGGACAGTCTCACCCTGCCATCTGCTTTGAGGTTAGTATTTCTGTACCTGGGGCCTGCCCTAGTGCCCGGGCTCGTTCTTCCCAGTCTTGGGCCCTGAGCCTACTGCTGCCACCATGTGGTGAAGCAAAGTAGCACAGGCATCGGGAACCAGTAACGGAGACCGCTCCCCCAACACTGGTAACAATTCAGCACCCATCCCAAGTCCCTAACACAGCTACTTGTAACCCTAGTCCTATGTCCTCTTCTAGCCTCCTGGGGCACCCCACCCCCCACACTCATAGTTAAAGATAAGCCAGGCGGTGGTGGCACACCCCTTTAATCCCAGCACTCAGGAGACAGACAGGCAGACCTGAGGTCAAGGCCAGCCTGGTCTACAAAGTGAGCACCACCACCCCCACCGAAAAAAAAAAAAAAGATAAATTAACCAACACCACCAAAACTGAAAACAGAGGGCTGGGGATGTTGCTCAGTTGGTAAATGCTTGCCTAGGTTCCATACCAGATATTGCACAGGCTAGTGGGAAGGCATACTCCTATACTGCCCGAGCCCTTTCTAAATTTTCATTTTTATAAAAGTTTTGTTTATTATGTATACAGTATCCTATCTGCATGTATGCCTGCAAGCCAGAAGAGGGCACCAGATGCCATTACAGATGGTTTTCAGCCACTATGTGGGTGCTGGGAATTGAACTCAGGACCTTTGGAAAAATAGCCAGTGCTCTTAACCTCTGAGCCATCTCTCCAGCCCCCCTAAGTTTTCATTTTAAGATTGCCTCTTGTCCAGGGTGGGCCTTGAACTTGCGACCCTTCTGCTTCAACCTCTGGAATAGCTAGAATTATTGAAGCACTTTAAAAAATCATTTATGTTTCGCCAGAATGTCTGTGCAACACTTGTGTGCCTGGATCCTGGAGGCCATCAGGTCCCCCAGAATCGAATTGGACTGCTGTGAGGCATCATGCAGGTGCTAGACTAGCTGGTGCTTTGAACTGATAAGCCATTATCTCCAGCCCTGAACCACGGTTTGTTTTTCCAAGACAGGGTTTCTCTGTGTAGCCCTGGCTGGGACTAAAGGAGTGGGTCACCACTCAAGGCCTGAACAATGTTTTAAAGACTTAAACTATTTGGAGGGCATGGGGATACAGCTCAGCAATCCCAATACTTCCAGGTGGAGGCAGATCAAAAGTTTACCATTATCCTAGATACTCTGTATCCAGGATCGCTTGGACTATGACATTCTATTGTACTGGTGATGAGACCAGGACCTTGTGCATGCTTGGCAGGCACTCGAATGTTGAATTCGTGCTTTTATTTTTTGACATAGACTCTTGCTATGTAGTCGAGGCTAGCCTGGAACTTGTGAATCTCTCCTCAGCATCGTCAGGTTAAGACTAGAACTCTGTACCACCATGCTTAGCAGTGACCATTACTTTTTTTTTTTTGGAGATAGGGTTTCTCTGTGCAGCCCTGGCTGTCTTGGAACTCAGTTCTGTAGACCAGGGATCTGCCTGCCTCTGCTTCCCAAATGCTGGGGTTAAAGGCATGTGCCACCATGCACAGCTTTAGTAGTGAGTCTATTCTTAATTTCAATGTACAATGAGACTTCTACCAACTGCAAGGACTCTTGGTGGTATTCTGGGCGTCTCCCTCCATTTAGAGGGATAGTCACTGTTCTGCTAACCACTTACTGCATCCCCCAGGGAATCCAGACTCTGCAGGGTCCAGTAGAACACCACAAAGCTACCTCACAGAGCAGCTGTTTTTGAGTATAGAGAGCTTTGGTTGGATGCCAATGACTTTAGATATAGCAGGAACAGAGTTGTCTATAGTCAAAGTTTTTTTTTTTGTTTGTTTCCCAAATGAAGTTTACATTTGTGTGTGGACACAGAGGGAGATCGGAGGACACTTGTGAGTCAGTTTCTTTCAACCACGTGGGTCCTGGGGATTGAACTCAGGTTGTCAGGCATGTAGCAAGTGTCCTTACCTGCTAAGCCATCTTACTGTCCTGTCTTCAATATTGAGGGCCACCTTCATGAAAAAAACTGCTGCTCTTGAAGAGAATCCAGGGTTCAAATCCCAGTACCCATATGAAAGCTCACAAGCAGCTGTAACTCCAGCTCTAAGAGATTCAATGCCCTCTTTTGACTACTCCTGGGCACTATAGGTACATGGTGCATTCACAGGCAAAATGTTCATGTTCAAACTACATCTTAGGGCCAGAGAGACAGCAGTTAGTATTGGCTGCTCTCCCAGAGGGTGGTTTGATACCAAGAGCCCACATGTCGGCTCACAACTCTGAACTCCAGTTCCAGGGAAGCTGGTTCCTTCCTTAGGCCTTTGCCAGCTGAGTGCACATGGTGCAGACACACACACACTTAAAAAACAAAAAAAAATCAACCAGTTTCAGGAGACCTAACATCTTCTAGCCACTGTAGGTACACACCCACTTACACAAATACAAAGATTAGTAAGTAGATAAAAGACACAAAGTATTGTAAATCACCACCAGAGTCCACACTACAAATCCTGCCCTCAAAGTCACCAAGACTCAGACTCTGGAGAGACAGTATAACAGAATGAATTCCAAAGGAAGGGCACATGCTTACTGTTCTGTGACGACACTCCAAGACCATGGCAGAGGCTGGGGTGTGGCTCAGCTATAGTGTTTTCATGTAGCATGTAGGCCTTGTAGTCAATTCCCAGGACCAAATAAAACCAACCCCCCCCCCCCACAAAAACAGCTGGGCAGTGGTGGTGCACTCTGGAAGCGGAGGCAGGTGGAACTCTGAATTCCAGGTCAGCCTTGTCTAGACAGCACCAACTAAACTAACCCCACCAAAGCAGAGACACTAATAAGCAATTGTCTGAACTCATCTCAGGAACATCAATGTAGATGGTTCAAACACCATGAAAAATTTCCTTTTCTTTAAAAGATTTATTTTTTATTTTACGTGTATTAGTATTTTGCTTGCATGCATATGTATGTGCACCACATGCATGCCTGATGCCATGGATCCCCTGGAACTGGAGTTACAGTGCCATGTGGGTGCTGGGAATTGAACTTGGGTCCCCTAGAGGAGCAGCCAGTGCTCCTAACCACTGAGCCATC